TACATCCTGCTGCTTTTGTCAGCAGTCACATCATCATTAATTTTCAAGAAGTTCCATTGAAAGCTATACATGCCCATGCCATGACACCACCACCATGCTTCACCTTGCACCATAATGAGGAAACTGGCTATGTAACAACTTAGAAGCCAATTGCCCAATTACTTTTGGTCCCTTAACAAGTGGGAGGCACATATGCAAACTATTGTAATTCCTACACCGTTCACCTGGTTTGGATGTAAAAACCCTCAAATCAAAACTGACAGTCTACAGTTAAAACAAATCTTGGTCGTTTCACTTTAAATCCATTGTGTTAGTGTATAGAGCCAAAAATGTTAGACTTGTGTTGTTGTCCCAATTTTTATGGACCTGTATATATACACTCACCAGACTCTTTATAAGGTGCACCTGAGCCTCTTATGGCTCCAGAACTGTCTTAATTCATTGTGCCATTGGTTCAACAAGGTTTTGCAAATTTCAATATTTCATCAATAAAGCAACCCAGCGGGCTCCAAAACTGCATCAAAAAACAACATCAATTGCAAATTGATTGGATGTCAAAACCTCCACATTCATTTGACGGCCACACATTGTCGACCTTTTGACCACCAAAATAATAAACATAAAAAACAGGATGCATTCAAAGGGCGCTGCATCATCGAAGTGATGAAGGCTGTCTTTTTTTTTTAATTTTTTTATTAGTTTTTTTCTTGAAATATCATACAATACCATCCAAATATATAAAATGTATAAAGGTTCTTTACTGGCTGTCTCAAAAAATTCAAAAGCTCCTTCAAATTCAGGCTCAAAATGCATCCTTCGTTTCCCAGGTAATGAAGGACACTACTAGTGGATCATTTTCGGCCAAGAACATCCCAAGATTCATTGCATGCTGATAACGGCAGGACGTTTTTAAAAGAAAACTCTGGATTAAATGTATAAATTAGGTTTAGTTAATTGGATTTCTAAACACATGTTAAAAAACAAAAAGGGCACGAAATGCCTTACTAAAAAGTGATTTTATAGACAGTTTACATTATGTGTACTTGTATGGATTAAAGGGATTATATTTCCAGCTTTTATAAACTTTGTTTTGTCTTCAGATCGCTTAAAATAAGTTTTAAAATCACTTTGAAAAAAGTCATTATACGTTTTATTACCGCTTTTATTATATTTTATTGCCTTTATTATTGGCAGCTGAGCTGTTACAGTTGCTAGGTGATGATATCTGTCCTCTGTAGGCTAGATTCTCTCATTTTAAAACGCTCAGTTCAGCTTATGTGGACTTTGAAGGATTCACCTTTGAAGCCTGCATCCTTCGGAGGATGCAGCCTCTGAAACGAGACAGCCAGTGGGTGGATGTCAAATGAACGTTAGCTAATTTATTAAATTTACTGATGTTGTTTTGACATCAAGGTGCTTGCTAGGAAATCTGTTGTTTCAGGACATTTCAAGATGCTCTAATGGATTGAGATCTGTTGAATCTGCATTGTAAACAAATATCTGCTAATTAACAGTTTCCTTAACTTGTGGTTGACAAGTGTTTTCCATTTATGTACAGCTGTGAATTGCATTATGGCACCTGATCTCGACTGTTGGTGTTGAAAATTCAACTCTACAGTTTAACAAATTGACTTATTGACATTTTTGCAGTTTGAAATAATATAAATGAAAAATAAAAATAACCGAAAATGCACTGGCAGTTTATTTAAGGTGTTGGTAGCGTAATACTGTACTACACCAACCCAGACAATATATCACTTCAAACTATTAAAAATGCTAATAAAAGTCTTTTTTTTTTACTTTTCAATGTTAAAAGTTGTTGAAAGAAAGATTAAGGTCCAATATTGCAATTCAAAAGGATAAATAAATGGGGGAAAATTAAAACATGAATCACAAAATCACGAAAACTGATGATTTATGGATATTTTTACTAGATTCCCATACTAACTTCAAAAGCAAATATTTTCAAAGTTTGCAAAAAAAAGAAAAAAAAGAGGTACTTTTCATCAGGTTGTTAGAGCAGTTGACTGCAGTATTGGTAACCTAGAAACCAAGAGTAAACACAGCAAGCATAATGGGTCATGTGGGTGTAATGTTCGCTATGTCAGAGTTTATTCGGCTAGTGTGTTGCATTATTTACATTAGCCCTTTCTTCACACAACTTCAAAAGCACCTCAAGCAAGCAAAAAAAAAATTTAATTTCAAATTTGCGATTTCCTTCACTCATTTCTCAAATTACAAATGCAATTTTTTAAATTGTGCATTAACATAGGGTGATGGAAAACCAGCGACTGCCATGTTCCAAAAACTAGTTTAACTTATTTAAGTTTTTAAAAATGGTGCATTATCATAAAGACCTGCATGAATATGGTCAGCTGCAATTTTCAGGTAGACTGTTAGATTTGAACAATGTTTTGGTGGTATAAGAGGCTTCATGTGTGCAAAGAAAAATATCTCTCATACCACTATACCACGAGCCCTACCATCTATATGTTGCAGCAAAAATCTACACTCTTTTGACCTCTGGCTTGATATTCTTTATATTTTAGATATGTTTCCCTTTGTGTAAAAATCACAATAGAACAGCATTTTCTGAAATATTCAGACTACACGTCCAAATGCAGTTGCTGCCCTGTGATTGGCTGATTAGATATTTGTGTTAGTGAGCATTTTTTGTATATTTAATAAAGTGGCTGGTAAATGTACAATGTATGCTCAGATAAATTTGTATTTGTTTTTAAAATAGGATTGTATGTACATAAATGTGTGTGATTTGTGTAGTAAATTGTGACTAATGATGAATAATTTCTTGTTATATCATAAAAACGAAGTCCTTCAAAAATAGTTTCATTTCTTTATTTTCTTCCCTGTTTATAATAATGTAATAGTTTTCTGCCCATATTGATTCCATTGGGTTTTGGAAATCCCCTTTACGCAATAACACAGTACATAACCATAACAGCATAATGCATTTGTAGTAACTCTATGATATTTTAGGTATTTAACACAACAATACAAAATTGCATCATGTAAAGTTATGTAAAACTCATATTGCAGTTTAGACTTGGCTCAATAATGAAATATTTACTTTCATACACTTAGTAGAAAAATTATAGAAGATAAATCTATTCTATTTTACATTTTTAATAATGTAAATAATTTACATTTATAATAATATTTGGGGGCTGTGCAGTGGTTAGCACTGTCGCCTCACTGCAAGAAGTTAACTGGTTTGAGCCTCGGTGGGTCAGTTGGCTTTTCTGTGTGGAGTTTGCATGTTCTCCTCGTGTTCTCGTGGATTTCCACCGGGTGCTCCGGTTTCCCCCACAATCCAAAGACATTTGGTATAGGTGAATTATGTAAGCTAAATTGTTTGTAGTGTATGTGTGTGAATGAGACTATGTAAAACATATGCTGGATAAGTTGGCGGTTCATTCTGCTGTGGCGATCCCTGACTAAGCCTAAAAGAAAATGAATGAATAATAAAATTTGTTCATTATAAAATATATAATTTAGTGTATATCAGTACATTGTAAAATATATCAGAATATATTTCAGCAATTAAACATATCAAGTGTGCAGATAAATATAATTTAATAGCTTTTTGTGATCATATACATTTATTTTCAGGCACATATTTTCATATTTAAAAAATATGGTTTCATAATAAATAAATGCTCATAATACAACTTTTCAAAATAAAGTAAGTAATAATATCATAAACAAATATATATGAATATATATATTAGGACAATTTACTCATTTATTGGCGGTTCGTTCAGCTGTGGTGACCCCTGATAAATAAGGGGCTAAGTCGAAGAAAAAATTATAAATAAATGAACATTTATTTACATTTATTTATTGCTTGTTTTTATTCATTTATTATATTTTTATAATACATGCTTTTTAATTTTTTAGTGTTATTAAAATAATTATTTAGTTATATTGCTCCATAAAAGCAGCACGGTGACGCAGTGGGTAGAGTTCTCGTTTGCATGTTCTCCCCATGTTTGTGTGGGTTCCCACCGGGTGCTTTGGACCCGGTTTCCCCCACAAGCGCAAAGACATGCGCTATGGGTGAATTGAATAAACTAAATTGTTTGTAGTGTATGTGTTTGAATGGAATTGTATGGGTGTTTCCTATTGATTGGTTGCAGCTGGAAAGGCATCCTCTGTGTAAAAAAACATATGCTGGATAAGTTGGCGATTCATTCTACAGTGGCGACCCCGAATTAATAAAGGGACTAAGCTAAAAAGAAAATAAACAAATGAAATAAATGAATGAATGAATGCTCCATAAGATTTAAAAAAACATGTTTTTCGTCGAACACTAGAAGCAGTACCTGGCTCTGATGTGAGGTGATGCGGTGAAGATGGCATACAGCAGCGAAATGTTCAATTTATTTGTAGTATATAACTTGCCATAGATATCTATGTTGTACTTATTTTTTATTTATTTATTTATTTTTGTGTTTTCCTTTCACTCTTGGATTTATTTTAGCTTGAATGTTTTTTGTATATTACATTTGTATCTTTGTATATTATTGTGTTGAGCCTTCCATAGTTGTACAGTTTTACAGTTGTGAAGTTGAATCCCATTTTGTTGTATTTGGATTTTGTATTTTCAATAAAAAAAATATAAATAAATAATAAAAAAAGATACTATCACTGTAGCATCATTTTTCTGATACTGCACAACAATAGTTACTATTTTTACATTACTGTGCGGGTTGGGTTCAGGATTAGAATGGGTACACGTTAATACAATACAATATAATGGGTAATTTTAATAAATAATATAATTAATACTCGGTATAATACTGTTTTTACATTATTGTGATGGTTGGGTTTAAGGCTGAGGCATGGGGAGACGTTAATAAAATGCACATAATAGATAACTTAATAAATAATTATCGTTAACTTCCGGCCGCAACTGTATCCCTTCTAGCAACAACCCGTATTCGCTGCTGTGTCTCTTCTGAGCCTCACAGGCCGCCGTACTAGTTCCTGACCGAGGTGAGAATGGCCGGCTTGATGTGGCTTCGGTGCATTCTAGGGCCCAATCTGCAGCGGATCCACCGCTCGCCGGACCAGACCCGCACTGACGGCCGATCGGCGCGCAGGGTAGGACTCTTTGCTCTCCTTCACACCGACCCAGAGCGCTAAAACACGGCCGAAATCAGCCTCGGACCAATGTGCGGAAGTGCATTATTGTGTTGGCTCAGTCTCAAATCCTAGTGAGCTGCCTATCTAGACAGCATTATGGGTGGTTTGGTTCCATTCAAATGTTCGGAATTTGTGCCAACGATGTCCTAAACACTGTCTAGATAGTCAGCTCTCTCGGTTTTGAGAAACATCCATTGACTGAGAGCTGTTTGCTAACTGAGCTTAGCTTTAGTTGTCTAATGACAGGTCAGTCAACCATCTGTCATGAGGAACACGACCATATTAACACCACACTATCATCGCACCCCAGTGTTTATTTACTGCGTTTTACTCTGTTTCAGACATGTGACGTTGTTACGACGTTACATTAATAATAATGATTACACCAGTCACATTTTACCAGCCCTCTCTTGCTATATGAAAACAATACATTCTCCATATTCAGTTTCAATGTTTGTTGAATTAATAACCTTCAAAATACTTTAGTAATTCCTTGTTATTAATGATGTATAACAATTTCATCAATAGGCTATTCTTCAAAAACAAATTAAACGAATAAGACGCTTTTGAAACCTTTCTGTTTTGCATCAACTCCAGTGCAGCTAAAACTATTAGATAGACATTAGATGATGTTTAACTGTAATATTTATTTTAATATTTATATGTTAAATAACTGATATCTTATGTTTCATTTAATTGTTCATTTGCTATTTTATTTTAGTTCTGTTTCGTGGTACAGTACTAAATTAGTCATTAGACTACAACAAAAAAGGGACTATTCATTCTAATTATTTTTACTTTTTATTCATTTCAGGGTCTCTGCGGGGTCTTAAAATGTCCTAAATTCACTGAAATATTGTGTTGTAGGTTTTAAATCATATTAAAAAGGTCTTCATTTTTATATGTCCAAGTAAAGCTACCCAATCTGTCCCCTATAATCCATCTCAAAACTTCTTTTTCAAAACTAATCCTAATGAACTTAATCTATTTGAGTAAATGAAGCAATTTTAGGAATTTGAGAACTCAAATCAACTGAGTACGGTAAAACCCAATAAGTTAAGGCAACTCAAACCGTTTGAGGAAACTGATTGCTACAAACCATTTGAGTTAAAAAAACGAATTTTTATGAGTACTGTAAACTTACTCCATTTAAGTTGAAGTAATGAGGTATTTAAATAACTCATTACATTCAACACTGAGTTCAAAAGTCTTTTTAAATGAGTAGACTTAACTTTTAGTACATTTTGAGTAAACTACACTCATTTCATTTGATAAAGTCGACTGTTGGGTTTTACAGTGTATATATTTAAGTTTTTTTAGCGCAAAGAGATACAATTTGCAACAGCTTTTAGACATTTTTACAGCAAATTCTGCGCATTAAATTTCCTAATCAGGGAAAGAAAACTAAAGCAACACATTCCTTTACATGATCATCCTAAAAAAAAAAACTATTTACAGAAGTAACCATTTACATTAGAAAAAAAGTCTTAGCGTTTTACCCTGTATAACCTAAAATTTCATTTACAATAGGCTTAGTCTTGCATTTGATTTGAAGAAACCTGCAGAAACCCTGTTATTTATTGTCATTTTTTATAAGCAGATACTTGAATAACAGTAAGTACATGACGTGAAATATATAGTATAATCTGGGCCTATAAACAATATGATATCGAATCGCGATAATATGTACAGTATGTCAATAACAATGATAAGCTCTGGACTTTTTTATTCTATATTGATCTGAGAGCCAATCACACAGCAGAAATGTGAAACAACGGGAATCTAGAAGTGTGTTGATATTAGAGATGCAACTAATTTTGCCCACCGAAAATTTATCTGCTGAAAGTACTGTGTGTTATGCCATTTAATGGGCTTACTAATTTTTGTGGCTTCAGTCATTGTTGGGGTACTCTGTTTAATCTGGAAGTATTGACAACTTACAGTATATTGAAATATATATATATATATATATATATATATATATCGTTCAATGTAAAATAATTATCGAGATTGCATTTTTGCCATATCACCCAGCCCTAATACAGAATAATAACAGAAGATTATTTTATTATAATTATTAACAATATGATGGAATTTATTGCTAATAATGATACTAAATATCATATTGAGGTTGCTGCTAAGCATGGTAAGTAGACATTTGTATATATAATAACAATAATTGAAATATACATGGGAACAACACATTTATTCACATTCATGTGGCTGTTTCATTTTAAAAAACATAACTTTTACATCAAGAATTATTATTGCTAAGAATAAAATATGACATCTAGTACTGAAGTTTCTTCTTGAAGTTTATAAAACACAAAAAAACTTAAAATATTCCCATTAAAGCTATTATTACCTCTTATATTAGGTATATCTCTAATAGTCAAAATGTGATATAGTTATGTTCAGAAACTATATCACTATTTACATCTATAAATCATATTTTTACAGACATACAGTATGAGACTCAGCATGTGTTTGTCATCCACAGGGTTGGAATTATCAGCCCAGAGGTCTGGAGAGACACACAGACAGCATCCTCGGCTGGGTATGTGATCGCAGTGATGTTTCAACAGACTTTTCTCTCCAGTTTGTGTATAAGCAGTGCATGAGTTTGCTTTTTAGCTTAATTTCAGGTTACCATTGTCTTATACACTGCTTGAATAAAGAAGCGTTTGACAAAAAATGGGGTTATGGCCAATAAAAAAAACTGTAGAATTTTTAATTAAATATGAGAGAGACTGTATCAGATATGTTTTAATCCTGATTTTGTACTTATAGTTACAATACTACTGTTTTTATTTTTATTTTACATATTTTGTTGGGTGGATCTCGGGCTTTGAATAAAATCAAAACGTTCAATAAAAAAGAATTTAAAAAATGGGGTTATGAAAAGCTAAGCTGTGAATGTGGAACAATGCCCTGTTAAACACACTGTTGTACAAATGTTTTGTGTATGATAGTGTCATAATTGTACTTTAAACCATGTGGAAACCGATGTTATAGCTTAATGTGACTCATGTAAAAGAATGAAATCAATATTTGTTGAGCTTCTTTATTCGATTCTCAACAATATACAACAAAATATTTATTAAGTATTTATTACCATGATAAGTATGATTTTTCATGTTTTTTTAAAGAAGTCTCTTCTGCTCACCAAGCCTGTTTATATGATTTGAAATAGAGCAAAAACAGCAGTTTCTGTTTAAATATATTTTAAAATGTCATTTTTTATGAGATTTCAAAGCTTATTTTTTAATCAGCATTACAGTGACAAAATGCTTTTAATATGAGTATTTGCGGTTTATGAAACTATTATTATAATTTATTATTATTATTATTATTATTAATAATAATAATAATAATAATAATAATCATATTTATTCATTATATATACAAATTATTAGCCCCCCTTTGAATTTTTTTTCTTATTTAAATATTTCCCAAATTATGTTAAACAGAGCAAGGAAATTTTCACAGTATGTCTGATAATATTTTTTTTTCTTTCTGAGAAAGTCTTATTTGTTTTATTTCAGCTAGAATAACAGCAGTTTTTAATTTTTTGAACACCATTTTAGGGTGAAAATTATAAGCCCTATTGAGCTATATATTTTTCCCATAGTCTACGAAACAAAATCATCATTATACAATAACTTGCCTAATTACCCTAATCTGCCTAGTTAACCTAATTAACCTAGTTAAGCCTTTAAATGTCACTTTAAGCTGCATAGAAGCATCTTGAAAAATATCTAGTAAAATATTATTGACTGTCATCATGGCAAAGATAAAATAAATCAGTTATAAAAGATGAGTTATTATAATTATTATGTTTAGAAATGTGTTTAAAAAAATCTTCTCTCCATTAAACAGAAATTGATGAAAAAAATAAACAGGGGGGCTAATAATTCTGACTTCAACTGTACATAGTTTTATTTATTTATTTATTTAATTAATTAATTGATTATTTTTTGTTTGTTTGATACAAACTTCAGACTTCAAAAGATTTTGTTTAGTTCTCTCTAGATATTGTTTCCAATCCAAACATCAGCCACTAGCACCAAAAGCAATGACAGTGTTTATTACATCTGCCACCCTGAGGCGCAACTCATTCATTATGAAGGAAATTGAGAGGTTTCACCACTTGCTGAAACTTGATATCATTGATACATCCCACTTCTTTCCCAGAAAGTGGTGATTTGATTCTCTTGAACAAATGGCATGGAAACAGTTCTCTGTTTGCAATTGTTTTATCCAACAATACAGTTTTGACCATTACACTTCACTACTGTAAAAATGAATTGTACCTAATAAAAATGTCACAGGCGGTTCGTTCTGATGCGGTGACCCCTGATAAAGCAGGGAATAAGCCAAAGGAGAGTGAGTGAGAAATGTTACATGAACCCAAAAGTTTAGCGTTTTAAGGTAAACTCAAAATCACAAAGTAAAATGCATTTAGTTTTTTTTTTTACTTTGCATCAAACAGTATAAGCAAAATAAGTACTGAAGTAACATTGATGCTATTCTATGTGTTTTTGCACTTGATAACATAAAACAGTGAGGCATAAATTAGTATTTAAAGGTGTGCTGTATGTCTGTTTCTTTAATGTTAAAATTTGTAAGGTTAACATTATGGTAAAGAGTTTAGAGCCTGTGGTTTGCTTGAGGAAGAGCTAAAGAATCTGTACGTATCTGCTACGTATCTGTAGGCAAGGGCCGGTATATGATTCTGATGGTATGATAACCTTGGATAAAGATATCATGGTATTGTGATAACTGCTGTAAAATATATTCTTTTTAATTGTCTTGGTAAAAAAAAAACTATTTTGAACACAATATATACAGTTGAAGTCTGAATTATTAGCCCCCCTGAATTATTAGCCTCCCTTTTTTTTTTCCCCCAATTTTTGTTTAACGGAGAGAAAAATCTTTCAACACATTTCTAAACATGATAGTTTTAATAACTCATTTCTAATCACTGATTTACTTTATTTTTGCCATGATGACAGTCAATAATATTTGACTAGATATTTTTCAAGACACTTCTATGCAGCTTAAAGTGACATTTAAAGGCTTAACTAGGTTAATTTGGTTAACTAGGCAGGTTAAGGTAATTAGGCAAGTTATTGCATAAAGATGGACTGTTCTGCAGACTATCGAGAAAAAAATTTGCCTAAAGGGGCCAAAAACTTTGACCTTAAAATGGTGCTTAAAAATTTAAGAACTGCTTTTATTCTAGCCGAAATAAAACAAATAAGACTTTCTCTAGAAGAAATAATATTATCTGAAATACTGTGAAAGTTTCCTTGAACATCCTTTGGGAAATATAAAAAATAAAACATTTAAAGGGGGGGCTAATAATTTTGACTTCAACTGGTTATATTTTTTTGAGAAACTTTAAAAGTTTTTTTGGAGCAGAAAACATGTCAGGCTTAATAATTTAAATGAATCTGTCTTTATTAGTTTCTAGATTTCATTGCAATTTAAATTTTCATCTTTGAGTATATTTTCTGCTAGAGATACTGTTGTCCTAACAAACTAAAAAGAAACATAAACAAATCTTACATATACCATAGAAACGGTATAACAGAAAATTTTGGGGGTTGACTTTTTCCAAACCGTGGTATACCTTGAAACCGGTTATCGTCCCATGCCTACTCATCTGAGTGTTAATGAGAGACTCTTTTTATATCCCACAACTCATCACAAACGCGCTGTTGTGGTGCAAAATAATACAAAATCTACCCGTGAAGTAATCTGGCACAGTGGCTCAGTGGTTAGCACCGTCAACTCAAAGCAAGCAGATCACTGGTTCGAGAGCCAGCTGGGCCAGTTGACATTTCTGTGTAAAGTTTACATGTTCCTTTGTGTTTCCTCTGTGTGTAACTAAATTAGTGTTAATGAGTGCGTGTGTGAATGCAAGAGTGTATGGGTGTTTCCCAGCAATGGGTTGCATGAAGAGCATCTGCTCTGTAAAACATATACCAGAATAGTTGGCGGTTCATTCCGCTGTGGTCACCCCTGTTAAAAAAGGGACTAAGCCAAACGAAAAAGAAAGAATGAATGAAGTTCTACTATCTTTAAAAAAAAGAGTTTCCATAAATGTACGAGTGTATCAGGTTAAAACAAATCTATATGCAAATAAGGATGTTACCTTGGGTTTTAGAAATCTACAGTGTAAAAAATCAGTATAGGTTAATATACTAGCCTGTATTAGTTGTTTACCCCAGGTCAGTTATGAGCAGAATGAAACAAGATTTTATTCTGTTAAACACAAAAATAAGATATTTTGTGTTCCAAACAACAGGTGTGGAATGATTAAAGAATTGGGAAACTAAATCGTAGAATAATATTTAGTTTTGGGTGAACTATGACTCTGCGTTAATTATTTCAAGTGTAAAAATACCGTTTCAACTGATCCTCGTTAAAAGTGCAACAAACTAGCAAAACACTTTTTTTTTTTTTTTAAATAGGCCAATTTTACAACTCCCCTAGTGTTAAACAGTTGGGTTTTACCATTTTTGACGCTGGCAGAGCACTTTTAGCTAAGCTTAGCATAAATCATTAAAATCGTATTAGACCATTAACCTCCTAGTTCCTAGCCATGTCATCTTTGGCCATATTACTCTAAAAACTTTTCACTTTCTGTCAGTCTTAGTACACAATGTGACTACTGAAGAGTAAAGCCTTAAACAGCAAAATTATTATTATTATTATTATTATTATTATCATCATCATCATCATCATCATAATTATTATTATTATTATTATTATTTTCTTTATATTTATGATGATGATGATGATGATTATTATTTTTTTTTATTATTATGATGATGATGATTATTATTATTATTATCATTATTATTAATATTATTATTTTTTTCTTCATTATATTTATGATGATGATGATGATTATTATTATTATTATTAACATTATTATGATGATGATTATGATGATGATTATTATTATTATTATTATTATTATCATTATTATTATTATTATTATTATTATCATTATTATTATTATTATTATTATTATCATTATTGTTATTATTATTATTATTATTATTTTCATAATTATTATTATGATGATTATAATGATGATGATGATTATTATTATTATTATTAACATTATTATCATTATTATTATTATTATTATTATTATCATCATCATTATTATTATTATGATCATTATTATTAATATTATTATTATTATTGCTATTATCATCATCATTGTTATTATCATTATTATTATTATTATTATTGTTATGATCATTATTATTATCATTATTATTATTATGATCATTATTATTATTATATAATTTTTCTTCTTCTTTTTCTTCTTCTTATTCTTCTTCTCATTATTATTATTATTGTTTTAGCAAGATGGTAATGGTCTACTCCAGTTTAAAGTTGCCAGACCCGGAGTTCAACTGAATTGATTAAATTAGTAAAACTGTTTACATCTATTGGGGAGTTCTTAAATAAGACAATTTTCTAGAAGAAAAAAAAGTGGAGTGTTTCTTTAACAAAGAAAGGGTTAATAAGTGTTGTGTGTCTTTCTTCAGGCGTCAGTGCTGTGGTCTCTGTCATACTACACTTCTCCACTGCTCCTCTGCTATCTCTACAGGAAAGGTAATGTTAAAGACATCCAATATACTCACATGTATATTTTTGTCTTTGTCCAAAGCCTTTGGACCGGTTCTTGTTTTTTTGTAAATATGTAAATAATATCCACCTCACTGTGCATTTCTGCATGCATATCTTGAGCAAGTGTTGATTGGCAACAGTCTTAATGTTATGTTCAGCAGGTATAATCATATCAAATGAGTCACAGGCTAATGCTCTCAGCAGCGCCGCATGTATTTTTAGCCTGCTTCATTCATAAGAGCTTTCAGTGTGGTCTATAAGGAACAGTGATGCTCAGCTTGTGAATGAACTGCTGCAGTTTAAAAATCTCGATGTGCTTTTTGTCGACTCAACCCCTGGTTTTTAGATCATGAGCAAGGTAGGATCTTTTTTTGTTAAGCATCAGAGATGTTTTAGTATGGTGTCGAATAAGGTTAATGTAATGCTGTTAAATTTTATTTATTGAGTGTAGAATTATGGACTTGTTCGATTTTGTTTGTACAGTAGTTCAGTATCTTTGATACTCTGGTTTTAATAGAGTATATTTTGGTTAGATATTGTTTACTTCAATTATTATGTTGAGTTATCACCTACAAAAGAGATTGTGATGCCATATGAAGATGTGGTTATCTAGTAATAATCATGTTATTAAATGACAAGTGCCATTGCTATTTTCTAGTCATCATTTCTAATTAAAAAAAAAAAATAAATTTATGCAGGAAAGCTAGTGGTTCATGTTTTTGCGTGCTTTGCCGATATGTACTGGCATCCAAAAGTCTGTGGTCGGGTTTGTCTATTAATTTCAGCAAACAATCAATACTTTTATATAGCAAATAAGCATTAAACTGAAAAATGTAGAATGTGTGTATAATTCACAGAACATAACTTTGTTTTAATTAAATGGTCTTCTCTTGAAGTATCTATTAATCTGAAAAGCTTAAAAATCCATTTCTGCTAATTTAGCTTTTTTTGGGTTTTTGAGAATAAGTCAGTATGTCAGAATGATATCTGATATATTGCTTTATGATGCTTTAAAAATTCAGTTTTTAAAGTGATAGGTAACCCTAAAATGATTAATTCTGTGCATTTTTACTCATCCTTCACGTTCCAGTTTTTTTTCTTCTGTTTAATACAAAGGAAATTATAGTGAAGAATGATGGGGGGGGGGGGGAAACAGCCATTGACTTTCATAGTATTTCTGGTTCCAAATATGGATTTATGGGATTAAATGATTTTTCATTTTTGGGTGTTCTCTCTCTCTCTCCCTCTCTCTCTCTCTCTCTCTCTCTCTCTCTCTCTATATATATATATATATATATATATATATATATATATATATATATATATATATATATATATATATATATATATATATATATATATATACATACATACATACATACATACATACATACAGTTGAAGTCAGAATTATTAGCCCCCTTCAATTTTTTTTTTCTTTTTAAATATTTTTCAAATTATGTTTAACAGAGCACAAACATTTTCACAGTATGTCTAATAATCTTCTCTACAAAGTCTTATTTGTTTTATTTCGGCTAGAATAATAGCAGTTTTGAATTTTTTAATGAACCATTTTGGGGACAAAATTATTAGCCCCTTTAAGCTATATTTTTTCTCAATAATCTACAGAACAAACCACTGTTATATAATAACTTGCCCAATTACCCTAACCTACCTAGTTAACTTAATTAACCTAGTTAAGCCTTTAAATGTCACTTAAGCTGTATAGAAGTGTCTTGAAAAATAATTAGTCAAATATTATTTACAGTCATCATGGTAAAGATAAAATAAATCAGTTATTAGAAATGAGTTATTAAAACTATTATGTTTAGAAATGTGCTGAAAAAAAATCTTCTCTCCGTTAAAAAGAAATTGGGGAAAAAAAAAAACAAGTGGTCTAATAATTTAGGGGGGCTAATAATTCTGACTTCAACTGTATGTATGTATATATATATATATATATATATATATATATATATATATATATATATATATATATATATATATATATATATATATATATATATATTAAACTAATGACTGGTTTTATTGTTTTGTTTTTTCATCAAATTATTCCAGGTGTGGTGAGTAAATAGACTTTATAATAGAATATTAGTTACCCCCTTAAGCAACTTTTTTTTTTACAAACCACTGTTACACAATGACTTGCCTAATTACTCTAACTTGCCTAATAAACCTAGTTAAGTCTTTAAATTGCACTTTAAGCTGAATACCAGTAACTTTAAAAATATCTGGTAAAATATTATATACTACCATCATGGCAAAGATAAAAGAAATCAGTTATTAGATATTAGTTATTAAAACTATTATGTTAGAAATATGTTGAAAACAATCTTTCCGTTAAAACAAACATGAGAGTTTCACCACATTTTCAGTTCATAATTGTCCAATTTTATTAAAAAAAAAAAAAAAACTCAAGCACATTGCTCTGAAAATTTCAATCAGTTGTAATATTAAACTGATATTAATCATGTTAAACTGAAAATTTGCTTTAAAATTTTTGTTCTCTGCTCATGTAAACCATAAACTCTGCCTACTATAATGCTTACTTTAATTTAATTGGTCAGATCTGAATCATTTTGACTTTGCAAAATGCTGTTAGATGGCTGAAACCGCCTAACCTCATTTTTGTTATCTATACTGTATGTCTGCATTGATTCACAGTTGCAGTGTGATTTTGGTTGTGTTATAGGGTACATCTGCAGCAGTAAGCTGGTTCCTCTGAGTCAGTATGTTGGAACAGCGCTGGTCTGTCTGCTCGGAGTGGCCTGTCTGAGAGGTGATGCTATATTTACCTTTTTTTATTACCAATGTTTGTCTATTTCATCTCTACCTCCCTCAGAAATCAAAACTATTATCAGTTGTTGTATATTAATTAAATGGCAAAAAGAGTGGGATAATCAAATGTAAAATAAATCACATGAAATTTATAATGACATTTTAAACAGATTTGTAATACCTTTAAAAACTAGATTTAATCAAGTGGCATTTAAAAACGATGCCTGCTTTTTTTTTACCTAAGAGCAAAGACTCTTCTGAAAGCTTGTTTTGCAAGATTACCTTTTCTCTGTGAAATTTTTTTTGTACTGTCCTACGTTTAACCTTTGCAGAAAACTCTTTTATAAAGTGAACTCACTTGAAGAGTTTTCAGTAAAGCTCTCTTCAGAAAAGATGTAGAAATTCGATCATATGTTAATGTAAAAATTGTGATGTAGTACAGCATGTGTTTGTTTGCTGGTTTTCAGTTGTGTTCATTATACTTATATTTTCGTCATTGTTTTGCCATGGAAATAGACTAAGATGCTGACATATCAATATTATTTTAATAATGCAATATTTATGATATGTTTAATCACTTCATGATGTTCAATAGGTTGTAAACAGGATTACTAAGTCTAAAAAAAGTCAAAAACATTTCAAAATCAAAGGTTTAGCCGTTTTTAAGTTATAACTTCACTGAACAATTGAGTTCAAGGTCTTAAATAATTTTTTAAAAAGGTCTCAGTTTTGATGAAAATGAAAAATGGTGGGGGATGATTTTGTAGAGTTGTAATACAACTAAAGTATATTTAGACTGCAGCTGGCACTAACATTGCGATATAGGATTTTATGCACATTGGTCCTAAAGAAATAGTTAAGCCTCAATTAATATGACCTAATAAATTTCTCTCCCTCATGTGGTTTTAAACCTTTATGAGTTTCTTTCTTTTGTTGTACACAAAAGAAGATATTTTGAAGAATGCTATTTTGCCAGACCCATTAACTTTATAAATTACTAAGGAAGTCAATAGCTACGTGTTCATCCAACTATTTCCAAAATGCGCATAAAAAAATCGGTTGATGGAAACACCAAGATGCGCACACATTTTGAAAATTGGTTTCCAATGATGGACACACTTTCACCGCACATATTCCAGTATGCGCATTAAAAAAGTCATGTGATTTTTGTTATAAGAGATCATGTGATGATAAAAATGTGTGTGAATGGACAAACCAGCAGGCTGAGCACACTGTAAAACATCTGAAATGTTGTTTTGGTCATTCTGAAACGCCTTAACCATTTTCAGTATTAGTGTTATTATATTATTAATGACCTCCAGAACTGTCAAGAGCCTATGTGCTCCATGTCTCACGCCATCAAGCGCAACCACACATTCATTGCATGTCTGCATACTGTCTTCTGAAGTGTAAGTCATTTATTAAATAAAGAAAAGATTCACACAGCTTCTCCTACGACAGCAAATTCAGTTTTTACTGTTGATATTTGGCACCAGTTAATTGGGAAGTGAAAATGTTGTTCTCTTTGACTTGTTGGATGGAAGCAATGCTTTATTCGCACATCTTTTATGCCATGTTCCAGTGTTGCGCATAAATTTAATTTGCCTTTTCGGATGGAAACATAACTATTGGGTCCCAGCAGCAAGCATTTTTCAAAATATCTTCTTTTGTGTTTAACAGAAGAAAGAAACTAATAGATTCTCTAGAATAAATGATTACAGAATCCACATTGAACTGTCCCTTAAAAACTCTTATATTTGACTTGGTGCAAGCTGCAGAAACCTCGTGTAAAGTAACAGGTGTACATGTGTCTCATCTTTGTTTGTGTTTTTCTGCCATTGCTGTTGTCAGGTTGGGGACGCTGGAGAAACCCTGAGTACCTTCAGTTTATCAGCATACTGGAGGAGACCAGGAACAACCACACAACAAACAACAAGGTGACACAGTAGCAGAGCCACATGAACTTTCCCATGGAGCTTTGCTTTTAATGAGGCCATTAAACAGTTGATTGTGTCCCCTGCAGAAAAAACTGGCATGCTTTGACTTCGACTTCAAACACTGGCCTGCTGATTTCAGCTGGAAAGACGTTAGTAGTCCGTAAGTAAAGCTCTTGCTCTCAGCCTTTCTGTTTTTAAGGCATTAAGTGCATTTTGTAGTTAGAGCTTTAAAATACAGGAAAATAAAATAGTTGTTGTTGTGGTTTGGCTTAGTGCAGGTTGCGTTTTAATGTGCTACCATTTTCGCAGGCATCATAGTTAAAAATAAAAATTTTAACATAACTCAAAAACACTTTTGTTACATAAACATTTTAATTAAACTTGATTTACTGGAATAACTTAAGTAAAATAAATAATAGAAGATTCATAGATTGATTTAAAAATGCTAATAAAAATACATTTAAACTATTTAATAAAATGTAAATTAAAAATACTTGAAGGGCACCTATGATGAAAATCATCTGTTGTAAGCTGTTTGGACAGAACTGTGTGTAGGTATAGTGTGTTCATAGTCATATTGGGGTGATATAAAGACAATGGGCCCTATCATATACCACGCGCAATGTGGCGCAAGGCACGACGCAATTGTTGTTTGCTAGTTTCAGCTTGGCGCAAGAGTCGCTTTGACGTTTTCCGCCACACTGTTTAAATAGCAAATGCATTTCCGCTCATATGTGCGCCCATAGGCGTTCTAGTCTAAAAAGGGAGGCGTGTTTAGGTATATTGCTGGCACGTAGCTATTTTGAGAAAATTTAATTGATTTTTCAATTGAGAAGAACAAAGTCGGTCTATTGTCCAGTGCAGAGCACGTTAGTTGTGCGCCTCGCTTACACACTGCTTAATACACACAAGATGTAGAGCAATACGCAAATATCTTTATGTATGAAAAATAATAAAAATATTAAGGACATATACAGGATATATAGGATATAAATATAAAGGATTAAAATATTACAAAACATATTATTTTCTAGCCTGCATAAATATAGAAACCACTGCCTTCTTGCCTTCTTCATCTCGGGAGGGTTTTCAGTTCATTTATAACTTTTTGCTTTTGTAAATTGCTATTATTATCAGCAGTATTATTTATTATATCCATATTTATGTTTGTTTTATAAAAAAAAAGCTTAGATTTGATACCTGTCAGGTTTTAGACCAAATGGGGCACAGCATGTGTATTAGGATATAAGTGTGTTTTTGAGCACACTTCGTTATTATTGTTCATTTATTTGTTTGCTGGAAATTAGAACTGAATTTAGAAATAGTTTTGAAACAATTATTTGCGCTTAACAAATTAAATTATTTATTTATAGGCTAATGGTTTCCCTATCCACGAGAGCAAAAGTGAAAGTTAATAATTTCTCTCATTCTCGCGCTGTAGATGCTCTGTTTAACTTTGCGCATGGACCGTCAAAAAAGACCCCAATAAGTCTCTTTTTCAAATTTCCCAGATGTTAAAATAGGATCCAAATCTCTCTCATTTTGAGGCCCACCACAATGTAACATAGAAGTGCGGTTTCCCCACCCACCGAATTGATTGTCAGCAGCGTATTAACATGTCACCTTTATAACATATATAACCGTATCAACAATACAAGATGTGCACAAAGCAAATGGGATTGTGTGCGCGTGAACTTTGTAACGACATTGTGTGTGACTCATCATTGCAGAAAGGCTTGAATTAACTCCACAACAAATACATCAACTAATCATTGGGAAAGTTCTTACTGTAGTATTTCTCACAGAGGTTACATGAGATCTGCTTCCTTTATGTCTGTCACTGTGCTGTTTATCTGATGCAGCCGGAGATTGAGGCACACTCTGACAGGCACGTAAGAACGGTGGGTGGGGAGAACTAGCATTAAAAGCACAGGCAACAAAAACAGCTACAAGATGCTCAGAGCTGAAAATTACTAACTTCTAATAGCTATAATATATAATCTGATGGGGGTTTTGAGCTGAAACTTTACAAACACATTCTGGAGACACAAATGACTCACCTTAAATATTGAAAAGGGGTAAAATAGGTTGTGTAGTGATGCCTGTTGATTTCTGATGTTTGTGCACTTCCTCTGTCTTCAGGAAATCATCTAAAGGTGGCGTGTCTTTGCTGAGACCTGAACCCAAACACAGAGGAGCAGCAGACACTGTACTGAGTTCAGTTCGCACACTGCCCTGCCACATCCTGAGGTGCACATATAAAAACAAAGAATTCAAATAGAGGTCATGATTTCCTCTCTTACAATTAGTCATGTTGTGTGTTTTGTTTGGTTTAGTTATGTTATTGCTCACTCATTCGGCCGGAGGATGCTGTACCCAGGCTCAGTGGGTTTGCTACAGAAGGCCATGAGACCAATGTTACAGCAGGGCCAGGCCAGACTCGTAGAAGAGGTAACACACACACACACACACACATGCATGTTCTTTTATCCCAGTAGACATACTCTCATAGACATAATGATGTTTTACACTGGATCAACCCAGCTATTGAGCTGGAGTGTGATAGGTGTCATTCGGGTTTATGAACTTTAACCCATATGTTCTGGACATGCTCTCTCCTCATTCTGGGGTTCAGTATTTTTCTCTCTTTCAGCTATCACTTCTATAGAAATAGCACCATCACCTATCCGCTTGTTAAGTGTGACGTCACGCGAAGCGGCTTCCGGGTCCAATCGCTCTATTCAACTGAATGGGGAGACTCATGAAATGGTAATAGTAAACGTTTACAAAGCAATTTAATGCTTTCAAAAATCACGATCGCAGTATATATGTCCATGCCTAATATCCGATGCCCAGAAAGTGATCAATTTTTTTATAAATTGCTAAATTTTTGGTATTTGTTATGCAGCAAGCCCAGAGATTTTTGTGTACACTATGATTTTATATAAAACTAACTTTAATGTGTAATGGGAATAAAACGTGATCATAAACGAATGATTTCTCCACTCAAATGAATGGCGGCTTGGACCCAGAAACAGTATTACATACGTCACAAACACGTCACCACTTAACAAGAGGATTATTGGCCTGTTTTGTGTGATGCCTGATGATTACACACTTAATTTTTAAACTTTGTGTCCGTTCTTACTTTGCATGCTAGGCGTGTAATTTTATGAAACTGGAAGATCCCTTAACCACCCTTGCATGTACGGTGGCTGAAAGATGCATTTTGTGAAACTAGAGAAGATTAGATACTCCTTTCAAAGACATTACAGAACGTTTGTTAAAATTTGGAAGCCCTTTTATTCTTATGTTAAACCCTCCAGCTGGATCTAGACTGATCCCCCATGCTAGATCTTGACAATTATAATAGATCAGGTTGTCTTTCAATACTCGAATTACATTGATATTGTTGCGTAAATGTAGACATCTGCCTCGCGTTTAGCTCTGTGTACTTGGGTTTTATTTTATTATTATTTTCATTTATTTATTTTTTGTATTCATAATGTTTTTATTATTATTCCTATAAGGGTTGTTTGATAAGTTTATAAATGTAAAAATGTTAAATAAATCATTAAAAAAGATGTTTTAAGTGTACAAACAGTATATTCTATTCTCTACCCCAACCCTACCTCTCTAACTATCTTCATTTGTACATTTTTAAAATACCTCATTCTGTATGATTTATAAGCATGCTTACAAGTCCCTATGAACGTGCATTCAGGTTAAAAGTTTGTGTGAAATCAAAATAAAATGCTTATTTTGCTAGCGCACAGGAATATTCTTTAGATGAACAAGTAATCTGTGCTAATAAATTCATTAAAGTTTGTTTTGGCTTTCGCATTTGAAGTGCCAAGCCTTCTCTGTTGACGTCAGTTTGACAGCTTCAGCTACAATATTTCTAACCACGCACCTATTACCGTTAGTTAGCTATGAGGGAATGATGCGCAAAAACAAAAGCCTCATCCACTGGGCAATATTCTTTTTCAGTTGGAAGTACATAAACATTCACTCATTCATTTAGGGCTTAGTCCCTTTATTTATCTGGGGTCGCCACAGCAGAATGAACCGCCAACTTATCCAGCACATGTTTTACACAGCGGAGTTTTACACCCATCACTGAGAAACACCCATACACTCTCATTCACAAACAATATAGCTAATTTAATTCACCTATAGCGCACGTCTTTGGACTTGTGGGGTAAAGAGGAGCACCCGGAAAAAACCCATGTGAACACGGGGAGAACATGCAAACTTCACACAGAAATACCAACTGACCCAGCTGAGCCTCGAACCAGTGACCTTCTTGCGGGAGGGGACAGCACTATCCACTGCACAACTGCGCTGCCCAGTACATCAATATTTATTCTTTCATTCATTTTCTTTTCGGCTTAGTCCCTTTATTAATCGGGTCACCACAGCGGAATGAACCGCCAACATATCCAGCATATGTTTTACGCAGTGGATGCTCTTCCAGCCGCAACGAAACACTGGGAAGTACATCAATATACTGAAATGAAAATCACAGCAACTTCTGGTTCACGTTGACTAACTGATATATCCAAGCAAGTACACGAACACACACACACACACACATTCTTTATATACTGTAGTTCACAGGCTTTCTCCTTAGACATGTGGATTTTTATACTCTACTGTATATTCAGTCTCCTGACCTTTAAGGCCAAAGTATACATATGTTTGTTCACCAAAAAAAGGAAAATAAAAAGACAAAAGAATCCCTTGATTTAGACATCCTAGATGTATATGACTTTCAGGTTTGACAAATTTATTTAGCATATTCACTCCATGGCAACGGTCGGCTTTAAAATTTGGTCACACTTTATTTTGATGGTCCGTTAGTTGGCATGTAGGTGCAATGTAGCTTACATTCAACAAATTCTCATTAAATTATGAGTAGACTGTTAGCATGGGGTTAGGGTTAGTGTAAGTTGACATGTACTCGCTAAGTTTCTTATAGTCAGTTGAATGTCTGTTTAGCAGCAGTATCATCAGATATTAAGCAGGCAGTCTACTAATACTCAAATGGACCATCAAAATAAAGTGTTACCTTCAATTTATTTTACATTTTTTCAGAGGTCCAATAAAGCACATCCATAATAAAAAGCACATCATATGGCTCCAGGGGTTTCCTGTAGGTCTCCTGTAGCGAATCCATGCATTTTTATTTGAGGAAATATCATTGACTGTAAAAATTTGTTAGTGTATCTTCCGGCGAGCACACTATAAAGTTGTCTTCTCTTCTTTTCATTTCTGATGCGTTAGCAATATCAGCTGGATAGAACTGGGTTTTGTTTAATCCTTTGTGTAAAGCTCATGTGAAGTTGAAACCAATATGTGAGTGCAGTGAACACAAACAAACAAAATGCAGTCCTATCAAAAACAGCCGCATTGTAGAGCTGGAAATGTCTCATGGCAAGAAGGTCCAGGAGGCATTTCTGAGTGGAGTTTGCATGTTAATATTAATAGGTAATAGTAATAATAATAGAAAATGGTTGGCAGTTCATTCAGCTGTGGCGATTCCTGATAAAAAAAGGAACTAAGCCAAAGGAAAATTAATGAATTTGCTGCTTAATAATTTTCTGGAAAATGTGATATTTTTAAGAAAGTTTAAAATAGTCTTAATAAGGTTTGTTCTATTTTGTAACCTTGTAAATGTTCTTTACTGCCACTTTGACTCAATTTGATACATTTTTGCTAAATAAAAGTATACTTTGGTAATGGTAATGGTAATGGAATGGTAATCTAGCGTCATGGTGGCGCAGTGGGAAGCACAACTGCTTCACAGCAAGAAGGTCGCTGGTTCAAGTCTCGGCTGGGTCAGTTGACATTTTTGCGTGGAGTTTGCATAAGTCATAAACCAGGGGTCACCAACCCTGTTCCTGGAGAGCTACCTTCCTGCACATTTCAGTTGCAACCCTGACCATACACACCTGTTTGTAATTATCAAGTACTGCTTTAGGTACTATTAATTGGTTCAGGTGTGTTGGATCAGGGTTGGGACTGAATTCTGCAGGAAGGTAGCTCTCCAGGAACAGGGTTGGTGACCCCTGTCATAAACCCACCTTTGTCTTGTTGTGTTCAGTATGAAGGTCAGCGGAACAAACTGGTGGCTTGTGATGGGAATGAGATCGACACCATGTTTGTGGACCGGAGGAGAGATGGAGGAACAGCTGGCAAAACTCTGGTAAGAGTGTAAATCTCTTCATTAAAATAAACGTGTCACGACATGAATTCATCACCGTGGAACTTCAGGGAGATAAATCTGTGTAATAAAATAAGGTTTTACCACAATCCAGCGTTCATAAAAAGTGTATTACAGGTGATCTGCTGTGAGGGAAATGCAGGATTTTATGAGGTCGGCTGCATGAACACACCACTCGAAGGTCAATGCGTGAGACTTAATGTCTTAGTAATAGATTTTCAACCCTCATGCCCTGGACTCCTGCGAACCCGTTTTCTCTCTTGTTTACAGGTGGATACTCAGTGTTGGGCTGGAATCACCCAGGCTTTGGCGGCAGCACAGTAAGTGAACATCATGCCATCTGGTCTTCATGCTGACCTTGTCCTAAAGGGTTTGTTCACCCACAAATGAAAACTTTGTTATTGATTTTTTTCACTCTTGTGTCGTTCCAAATCGCTGTGATTTTCTTTCATCTTTGAAACACAAATTAAGGTAATAAATCAAATAAAAACCAAAAGGAGCTTCGGGGGTAATAACGTATCAGTGCTCTTTGGATAAGGGAGTGTGCAAAACAAAATCGTAAGTTCAATTCACTCAAAAAATAGGTGAAAAAAGTTGATAGTGTGGATATTATATTAGCACTCAAGTTCACCAATGAAAACTTATTAGACTTATTTTCTTTTGCATACAAATTAGGATGTTTTCAATGAAATCGAAAAGCTCTCTCATTCTCCATTGAAAGAAACGGTTACGAGACGTTCTAGAAAAGGAACCAAAAACACTGTCAAAACATTTTAACACACTATGCAATCGTGTGGAGCTGTCTATGGAGGATGAGGACGTTCTCGGAATTCATCTAAAATATCTTCATTTGTGTTCAGAAGATGAACAAAGGTCTGAGGGGTTTGGAACGACATGAGGGTGAGAAATTACTATTTTTCATTTTCATTTTTGGTTGAACTTTATTTACCCAAATTCTCAAATTCACAAGACTTTATCTCTAGACCACTGATGTTTTTCATTGACTCAAATGATTTCCTTCATACAGTTACAAGTAAATGTGGTTCAAAACTTTTAAAGTATATAAATGCTATTCATAACTCCCATTTAATGTTTTCTAAAACTATACAATCATAGAGTGATATATTAATCGGTTTCTCAACCAAAACTCTTTGAATGTAGCCAAAAAACAAAACAAAACAGGATTTTGTGCAGGTTCCAAAGAACAAAAGAAATCAAATGAGTTTGAGACAAAGGAGGTAAACTTCATTTTTGGTGAACTGTCCCTTAAAGGTGCAGTAGGTGATTGTCTTTTTTGTTGAGCTGGTTGAAAGTCTCTTCACAGTCCAATAGTAAGGATTACACTAAATCAGTGGTTCTCAAACTGTGGTACGTGTACCACCCGTGGTACGCAGGCTTCCTTCTAGTGGTACGCGGAGGAATGAAATATGTCATGTACATGCTACACACATTTCAAAATTTATCAAAAATTATGCATATAATATGCCATTTATGAATATAGCCTATATTTCTGAGGTAATCTGCCACATTGTTTTAACTGTGCAGAGTTGTAGCTGCTTTACTGAGCCTACTGTATTTCAATACTGCTCATTTTTGGTGGTACTTGGAGAGACAATTTTTTTCTGAGGTGGTACTTGATGAAAAAAGTTTGAGAACCACTGCACTAAATGATCTAAATGTGTTTATATGTGTTTTTATATTCTGGGTAAGGCATAAAACTAAAAAATGTTCATCCAATTAAATATTGTCGGACCATCATCTCCCATGATTCCAATAAGCAGCTCAGACTGTCTGTAAGTAAATGTAGATTCGGACTTCTGCGCATCTTCTCACGCAGATGCGCCATTCGCGCGTGCCCATCTGCATAAGTGGCCGCGCGTTCACGAGACAGACTGGGAAAAATCAAATGCTGAATTGAAACTTTTAAAAACCTGAATCAATATTGGAGTTAATTTAGCACGCTGGAGGAAGGACGACACCATGGCTGAAGTATTAATGTTAGACAGGTAATGTTCTTTTTTTTTAAACTATTTTAATCAGGCTAAGCTTATGTTAGATTGTGTTCTGTTACGAATGACTTCTATGCACAGACGTGTTATTCAGCCACTGAAATCTCCCGGTGAAAGATTGATGTGATTATTTTCAGTTTTATAAGGTCCTTTTACAGTATCTATAATGTAGATTTATATTAAGTTTAACAACAAAGCACCAGTAAATAGCGCTATTCCGCTATTATAACCTGCTTTATTGAGCTGAAGTTGCTTTTATATTCACATTGGGTCATTTTTAAACAATGACAGCCTTCCTATACTGTTCACCATGCTACTCTGAATATTCGCTCTGAAATAGCATGTAAGTGTGGCTAAGTAATAAATGTAATTCCTGCGCGGTGCTGGCTGAACACTAAATAACTAGCGAATGACATGAACTAGTGGGTTGGCTGTCTGTTGTTGTGTTGCAGTGCGCGCGCTCGCGATATCAGGGGGTGTGGCTGTGAATCACAGTCCTTCCCCGCCATCCAAAGATAATATGCTAAGCGGTTAGCATTTTGGCAGATCACCTACTGCACCTTTTAGGGAAAACATAAGATTATAATAATATGGAGAAATGAAATGATAATAAACACAAAATGATCAATAATAATAATCAAATCAGGGTGACGCAGTGGCACAGTAGGTAGTGCTGTCGCCTCACAGTAAGAAGGTTGCTGGTTCAAGCCTCGGCTTGATGGGTTGCAGCTGGAAGGGCATCCGCTGCGTAAAACATATGCTGGATAAGTTGGCGGTTCATTCCGCTGTGGCAACCCCAGATTAATAAAGGGACTAAGCCAAAAAGAAACTGAATGAATGAATGAATAATCAAATCATTAACTAATAGTCAATAAAATAATATAATGGAGGTTATATAAATAACTAATGACCATACGACCAAATAAACAAATTAAATGAAGAATAAATGAATATAAACAAATGAAAATAAAACACAACACAAATGAATGGTGGCTTTCCTGAAACAACACACACATAAGTTTGCTACAAGGATTCTCAAATCCTTACTTAGATTCTTCAGGATTAACTCACACTTTTAAGTTTTTGCATGATATTGCAGTTTCTAAGTTGGTGTCTTAATGAAGTCAGTAATTATATTTGTTATATTCGAAAGTTCAACAAAAAAAATGAAATTCTACTTTCCTTATGTTTGTTTGTTTTGTCTGTTTTGTTTACTCATCTTTTGAAAGTTCCACAGGCATTTTTTTAATCTTAAGTTGAAATATTCTGAAGAAACTGACAACTTTCTTTAAGTCACTGGAACTGCTTTCTCAAAAAATAGAGTAAACCAGAAAAAACAAAAGGAAAAGTAGGATTATGCTGTTTTTGTTTTTTGTAAACGTTTACAAGTGCACATAACCATTGAAGTGCATTATCTAGCATTAATTAAAGGGCACCTATGGTGAAAAATCTTCTTTTCAAGCTGTTTGGACGGACATATGTGTAGATATAGTGTAAAGACCATCATATTGGGGTGATATAAACACACCTAGTCCTTTTTTTTTTTCAATTTAACAACATAAAAACGGTGGACCAATTTGAGCGGTTTGCAGACCGACCGCAACTTGACGTAGGAGTGCGGTCCTCCCGCCCACCGAATTGATTGACAGCTGCTTTTCACACCTCTACTTTGGAAAAAGTCAGAAAAGTGGGCGTGTCCAGCTCTGTTTAGGGGGGAGTGTCGGAGGAACTGAAGTGGGAGGGTGTGGTAGTGTCTATTTGGGCACGCGCGAGTTTCAGTCAAAATACACACAGGAGAAAGTGATGGTGTTTAACCTACATGGACATCTGTAGTCGAATTATTTGCCAAATTATTAAATGTTGGACTTTAACTGCTGTTTGGCTCTTTCATTCAGGGAATTCATTCATGCCCCTCGCGACAAACGAGATATTTGATTCGAGGATCTGCTCTAAGCGTGTATTTTTCATGCAATGTTTGATACCGCAGGGCGAATGAGAGAACAAAAAACTCCGCATTTTCCGGAAACTTAGATGCACACGGTAGGTAGCGTCAGAAAGCCGCGTTTGTTATTCCGGTCACAAAATGCGGTGCTAACATGTTTGCACTCAGTGCAATAGTTAACTTAATTCTATACGAACAAACTGAATAAACAAAGAGCGCTGGTCGCTCACTTACCAAATCTGTAGAGACAGGACAATCACCAGCAACTAGAGCCGCGTCTTTATTAAAAGAAGACTACAAGCGAATCCGGATCTCAGCGTTTGCAGATGAGAACAGCTCTCAGGTAAACAATGTTCCTCCTTAGACACGTAAGTTATTGTCGAGCGTCGCGTACACTGTTAATCCACACGTGATCCAGATGAGCTCTCACAGACAGAAAATGAAAACGAAACTTAATGGCAGCAAACTATAAAAGCAACACTTCACGCTTGTTTTGCCAACACAACGTGGCGTCTCTGTGGTGTAAACACGGTGACACTAATGAATATTAATGAAGTTGCACAATAGAGTGCGCTGATTGGTTTGAACCAAGCCTTACTCATGCATTAATGCATCACACTGTAAGACGTAATAAGACTCACTCTGGCACAGACGCCCAGTCTGCACGCTGGAATACAACGCTATTATGTCATGGCCGTGACGCAGCTTCAAAAATTCGTTTCAAACAGTAAGTACGAATTTGCTTGAAATAACGCAAAATCAACCAATTTACACTTTTTAGTGAAATATAGGTGTCCTAATAGTGTTTTTAGCAGTGTGGGACACATATACGACTGTCAACAGCTCAAAAAATGTGTTTTGGTGTTTCGTGACCCTTTAACAAGTCAATTCAATTCAATTCAGCTTTATTTGTATAGCGCTTTTACAATGTAGATTGTGTCAAAGCAGCTTCACATAAATGGTCATAGTAACTGGAACAGTGTGGTTCAGGTTTTAGTGTTTAAGTTCAGTTCAGTTCAGTTTAGCTCTGTTCAGTGTGATTTAATCATTACTGAGAGTTCAAACACTGAAGAGCAAATTCATTGATGCGTAGCTCTACCAATCCTGAACCATGCGAGGCAGTGGCGACAGCGGAGAGGGAAAAAAAACTTCACCTGATGGGAGTGAAGAAAAAAAACCTTGAGAGAACCAGACTCAGTTGGGCACGACCATTTTAATTTCTCCGCTGGCCAAAAGTCTTGTGCAGAAATTCATTCGCCGTGGTTTATGCTGGAAGATGGCCTCAATGAAGACTCGTCTGTCCCTGGAGCGTCGCTGGAATCAGACTCATGTTCTCCACTCCCCATGACCATCAGCGCAGCAGCAGCTCAGGATATGGCCTGGTCCCGAATATGGAATCCTTGGGATCATCACGTCGCTGGTCTTGGATCCAATCAGTGACTCCGCCTAATCTGAGGACCTCGGGATGAGTATCCCCAGGTGAAAATAGAGAATAAAGAGAATAATTAGCGTAGCTGCTGTTCATAGTGTATATAAGCAAGATGTAGAAGCCAGTGTGGAACCCGCTAGGTGATGCACTGAGTGTATGCTTTACTAAACAGATAGGTCTTTAATCTAGTTTTGAACTGGGAGAGTGTGTCTGAGCCTCGGACATTACCAGGAAGGCTATTCCAGAGTGTAGGAGCCATGAAAGAGAAGGCTCGACCTCCTTTACTTGATTTTGCTATTCTAGGTACTACCAGAAGCCCTGAGTTTTGAGATCTTAAGGAGCGAGTTGGTTCGTAGCGAGACAGAAGGTTGGTTAGATAAACAGGAGCTAGATTATTTAGAGCTTTATAGGTGAGAAGTAATATTTTAAATTCAATACGAAATTTAACAGGCAGCCAGTGTAAGGAGGATAAAATTGGGGTTATATGATCATATTTTCTGGACCTGGTCAGAACTCTGGCTGCTGCATTTTGTACTAATTGAAGTTTGTTAATAGAGGATGCTGGGCAGCCAGCAAATAGAGCATTACAGTAATCCAGTCTCGAAGTCATAAAAGCATGGACTAGCTTTTCTGCATCTGAGATGGATAGCATATTTCGTAATTTAGCGATATTTCTCAGATGAAAGAAGGCAGTTTTTGTGACATGGGATATATGGTTTTTAAAAGTTAGATTGCTGTCTAATATGACACCCAGATCTTTTATAGTAGAGCTAAAGCTAACTTTGTATCCCTCTAATTGTAAATTGAGTTGCGAGATCTGCTGTGTGCAAGATTTAGGCCCAATAAGTAATAATTCTGTTTTGTCTGAGTTTAAGAGAAGAAAATTGTTGGTCATCCAGTCTTTGATATCTTTGATACACTCAGTTAGTTTAGAAAGTTCAGACGTCTCGTCAGGTTTAGTGGAAATATATAATTGAGTATCATCTGCATAGCAGTGAAAGCTGATCCCATGTCTTCTAATAATGTCTCCCATAGGTAGCATATAAATTGTAAACGGTAAAGGGCCTAAAACTGATCCTTGAGGCACCCCATACTTTACTGGGCAGATTTGTGAAGGCTGTCCATTAAGATTTACAAACTGGTAGCGGTCAGTTAAGTATGACTTAAACCATTGTAGAGCCTGTCCCTGGACACCTGTAGACTTTAAGCGATTTATGAGGATATTGTGGTCAATGGTATCAAATGCCGCACTAAGATCGAGTAAAACTAATAGCGAGACGCACCCTCGGTCAGCAGCTAAGAGTAAATCGTTGGTTATTTTCACTAAGGCGGTTTCTGTACTGTGGTGAGCCCTGAAACCTGACTGAAACACTTCAAAAATATTGTTCGTCTGCAGATAAGAGCATAATTGAGTAGAAACAACTTTTTCTAGTATTTTAGACATAAATGGAAGATTTGAAATAGGCCTATAGTTAGCTAAGTTGTTGGTGTCTAGTTGCGGTTTCTTAATAATAGGCTTAATAACAGCTAGCTTGTAAGAGTTTGGAACATGGCCTATAGATAAAGAAGAGTTGATAATGTTAAGAAGAGGTTCTCCTATAGCAGGTAACGGCTCTTTCAGTAATTTTGTTGGAATTGAGTCCAGCATACACGTAGCTGGTTTAGAGCTATTTATAATTTTTACTAACTCTTCATGTTCTATGATTTTGAAGCAGTGTAGGTTATTATTATGATTTAATGAAATATTTACAGGATTTGGAGTATAAGCCGGTGCAGAAAGTTTGGCATCTCCTATTTTCTGTCTAAAGCCTTCTATTTTATTACTGAAAAAATTCATGAAGTCATCACTACTAATTTGCGGTGGAGTAGTTTGTTCCAAGGATGACCGATTATTTGCTAATTTAGAGATGGTGTTAAATAAAAATCTAGGATGTTATGATTATTTTCTATCAGTTTGCGCAGGTGCTCGGTCCTGGCAGATTTTAGAGCCCTCCTATAGCTGGACATACTGTCTTTGTACGCAATTCTAAAGACCTCTAAATTAGTTTTTTTCCATTTACGTTCCAGGGCGCGGGTTGCTGTTTTGAGCGCACAAGTATGACTATTATACCATGGTATAGTTTTAATCTCTCTAGCCTTTTTTAATTTGATGGGTGCCACAGTATTTAGTGTGCTAGTAAAGATGGCATCCATACTGCTGGTTACTACATCAAGATCATTTGAGTTTGCGGGTGCATTACGAAATAGAGAGAGATCAGGTAAGTTATTTATAAATTCATCTTTAGTTGACGGAACAATAGTTCTACTAGGGCGGAGTATTGGAGCGGGTTTGCTGATTTCAGGTAAACACAGCTTATATAGTAAGAGGTAGTGATCTGTAATATCATCACTTTGTGGTATAATGTCTACGTCAATAACCTTGATTCCATAAGACAGAATTACATCTAATGTATGCTTTAAGCAATGGGTTGGACCCACAACGTTTTGCTTTATCCCAAGTGAGTGTATTAAATCCATAAGTCACCTGTATAAGTCACCGGTCCCAGTAGTCCCAGTAGTCACCTGTATAATCATGTCAACAAGACCAGACATGCGCAAAGCAACCGGGAATAAAAGCTCTGTTCAGTGCGCTGAGATCATCAATCATCATCAAATGTGATCAAGAGTAAATTTCACATGTTTAAAATGTTTTAAAACAGTGCACGTGTGTGATGAAGTACAGTGATTCACTTCAGCTTTACTTCATCAGCACAGCCGCGTGTCAGAACAATTATAAAGGAAGACGCTTTAATCCCAGTTTGTGGACGTTAAATCAGGTTTATTTTCTACATTAACATAACAGATATCCACACAGCAGTGGAGATTAAGCTGTATCCAGTCACATATATGTGCAAAAACAGTGCAAAGCTAAACATGTGGTCTGTCTGTCTGTGTGTATGTCTGTCTGTCTGTCTGTGTGTGTGACACATCAATGCAGCTGCACAACAAATACTCATTGGTAAAGTTCTTACTGTAGTATTTCTCACAAACACTACGTGAGATCTGCTTCCTTTATGTCTGTCTGTTGATTGACGCTGCCGAGGGAGGAGATTAAGGCATGCAGATAGGCACTTAGAAACGGTAGGCCTGGGGACTAGCCTTAAAGGCGCTTTACGACAAAACAGCCCCCTGGTGGAACAATGTATAACATAGGATCTTGTAAAAGGTATAATGAAAAATCTGATGGGTGTTTTGAGCTGAAACTTTACATGCACATTCTAGAGATGCAAAACACTTGTATTAAATCTGATAAAAGGGGTCACCTTGGTGCCCTTTAAAGAATCATTTATCAAAAATGATCAAAATCTTCTCTTCTGCCTTTTCAGGGAGTTCCTTTTCCTCAAAACGAGGCCAACGCGATGGACGTGGTCATTCAGTTTGCTGTGCACAAACTGGGCTTCCAGTTGAGTGACATCATAGTTTATGCCTGGTCGATAGGGGGATTCACAGGTAAACAACAGCAGATCAGCCAATCACAGATCAGAGAACACGCAACATGATGCATATGCTTTAATTCTGAATGTTCTGCTCTATTTTAGCCAGTTGGGCTGTGATGTCATACCCAGAGATCAGAGCTCTGGTTCTCGATGCCTCATTCGATGACCTGTTACCCCTTGCACTGAAGGTCATGCCGGACAGCTGGAGTGAGTCCGCAACTTTTTTCTCTCTCTGTTCGACTTCTACAGGCAGTGATGTCCTCAAAGCAATGTTTTTCAATTCTTTGATTTTGGGGTGAACAGATATTTAAATGACCTGAGCTCCTGTTTACTGTTTGTAATGGTACCAATGATGGTCAGGAGTCCCTTTTGCAGTCTATATCAAATTCTTTAAAATAATAGTGATAATTTTGGCCTGATTTGGTTAAAATGTTGCTGGACTAGCAATATTAAGGCAAAAATGGAAAAACAATGGTGGTTTACATCAGGCCCCCATCACATGGACACAGCAGTTGTGAGTTCCTAAAGTTTATTGGGAAAGCGGATTCTTGTCCACAAGAGTGCTTGAGTGTACTTGAGAAATATCAAGTTAATGTTATGTTGGTGGAAGTTCGCTTTGAGTGCGCATGACCTCATTGCCTCAAGGCAGTGTGCACAGCATTTTTTGTAACTTCCCATTAAAAGATGCATGACTTTAAGATGAGTCTGCCATGAGCTGAGTGAATGTGCAGACATCTTAAGGAATCCAAAACAGCTCCCTGAGGTTAGATGTTTTAGTGTATTTTGTAGGTTTTAGGACCAATACATATATTTTATTTAAAGCCATTTAATTCTTTTTGGCTCAAGACTTCCGGTCTCATTCACTTGCATTAATTTTTAGATGTTAAAACAGCTCGTTTTGCTGCTGTTGCAAACTGATATTTTCTTATTATATGATTCTGCTTTGTCTGTATAGTCATGAACACACTTGTTTGTAGAGCGAGTAGATTGACCGTTTTCTGTCATTTATTATTCCTAGTCATTTCTCCCATAGGCAACTGAATCAGAAGTTCTGGAATAATCTCTAAAAGGAGCGCATTTCCGCATTAAAGAATAAGGTTAATACACAGGTTGTCTAAAGCTTAAGTAAATACATTATGTCTTCAATGTGTATGAAATTTTGCATTACGCATGCTGTTACTTTGATATATAAAATGTTAGATGTAAAAATGTGGGTCCCATGGCCAAACCAGTTGAGAACCACAGATCTAGTGTATATATCTATGGTTGCAACCCATATCAAACACACCTGCCTATAATTATCCAGTGCTGTTCAGGTCCTAATTGATTGGTTCAGGTGTGTTTGATCAGGGCTGGAGCTTAACTCTACTGGAAGGTAGATCTCCAGGAACAGTGTTGAGCACTCCTGGTTTAAAGGTTGTCTTTTTAAATCTAATGTAACCTTGTGTTTGTTTGTTTTTTTGTTAAAAGATAACTGAAACTAAATGTTTCAATTACATGGTGTAAATTAATCAGATGTAGATTCAATTATTTAAATGTACATACTGTCACTCGATGGATAGAGGACTAATCAAGGCAAAGGCAGATTCTGCTTGACTAGTGTATTCAGCATTGAACTCCACTGTGTTATACATGTGATTTTTAATGTTTTTATTGCAATAAGTTATCATTTTTAAATGTACTGCATTAGTTAATGTGATTCAAAGTTAAGTTTTTCAATAAGTTTGGAAAATACCCATGGCAACTTAAATGTAATATAGTTTGTTGTTTATCTTCAGCCCACTGCTCTCATTTTTTGCTCTTTATATGAAAAAGGTTTGGGCATCCTACAGCTTTTTGGGGGGTTTGACAAAAGTGTTCTTGGAACTTCCTATGATTACTGTTGGAATATCAAGCCAATTCCATGCGTGTTCAATAAGAAAAGGTCTGGAGAGGGTTTTCTTCAATGCCAAAAATATTAGCAATTTATTAGATTCAAATGAATAATTCGAGGACAGAGCTCTATGTTGCGTTACCCCAATGCAATACAAGAATTACATTCAAGAGGTTTGCAACTCCCATACATTTCCTGACTCCAGCACATATACACAACTGATAATAACAGGTGGAGTTTTGGTGTAACGTCACTTATCAGTCCTTCTGCAGTCCTTTGGCTCTTGTACCCCAGACATACTTCCTCTTTCTGCAACCTTTCCAGAACTGAACAATTATGTGCATCTTTAATATATTTCACAACTTCTACAAGCATCATGACATGTCTAGACTTTGTATTAAACAAAAGCCCCCACACTTATTCTGCTATTTCCATCTTGTCAGCATGTTCCTTAAAAAAAGTATGCAGCACAGTAAAAAAGAGGAAGTTTTTCTGGTCACTATGTGATCTCATACATTAGTGAAGGATTGATTAATCTGTTGATAGTCTAAACATTTGTCTAATAAAAAAATAAAGACACAAAAGTAATAAAAATTAATTATTTTTTCCCACATTACACTTGGTCACATGGAATGTTTTGACTATGTTTTTGTTAATTTTCTGTACTTTAAAAATCTCTGGACTGCTGCTGTCTAACATTTGCAAATAAGTCATCATATTTTCAGCTCGTGTTAGACAGTTCTTTGAAAGGTAATTATGTAAAAAGATTTGACTTTTGGCTAGGTGTTTATTGTGAGATGGCGTATGATATAGCTCATGTTAGTCCAGAGGTTTAAATAAAAGCTTTTTTGTTTCCATTTACCTATTTTTGAGTATATATTTAAGATATTGCATAAAAACACTGAATATAAATGCACAAATAAAAGTGCTTTTCGTCCACTCTGGAACTCATTTAAATGTGTTTACCAGAATAAACAGCACAAATCAGTCCAAGGCACTCGATAAATGTGGAAAAAATATTAAAAAGCCTTTATTCACATGGCTAATCCTCAAAACACCTACAGTTGAAGTCAGAATTATTACCCCCCCTGAATTATTATGTTTTTTTTTTCCCCCAATTTCTGTTTAATGGAGGGAAGATTGTTTCAGCACATTTCTAAACATAATAGACTCATTTATATTAACTGATTTATTTTATCTTTGTCATGATGACAGTAAATAATATTTGACTTAATATTTTTCAAGACACTTCTATACAGCTTAAAGTGACATTTAAAGGCTTAACTAGGTAAATTAGGTGAACTAGGTTGGTTAGGGTAATTAGGCAAGTTATTGTATAATGATGGTTTGTTCTGTAGATTAACAAGAAAAAAAATAGATTAAAGGGGCTAATAATTTTGTTTAAAAAAATGTATAACTGCTTTTATTCTAGCCAAAAAAAAACAAATAAGACTTTCTCCAGAAGAAAAAATATTATCAGACATACTGTGAAAATTTCCTTGCTCTGTTAAAAATAATTTGGGAAATATTTAAAAAAAAAAAAAAAAAATCAAAAGGGGGCTAATAATTCTGACTTCAACTGTATGTGTTTCGTCAAACAACTGCCTTCATCAGGGGGACTGTTACCCAAATGCATAGGTTTTTTTAAGCATTAGCCATGTGAATAAAGGCTTTTCAAAACTTTTCCTCATTTTTCAAGTGCCTTGGACTGATTTTCGCTGTTTATTCTGATCAATCCCTTACCCAAAGAGCACTGACACATTATTTAAGCTACCCCTGAGCACTTTTTGTTTGATGTGGGTTAATGTGTGTGTTATTGCAGGACCCTTGGTCACACACACAGTGAGGCAGTACATGAACCTCAACAATGCTGAACAGCTCTGCAAGTTAGTCATCTTCATCATCTCATTTACTTGTAAAAAAAAACAAACAAGTTAAAGAGTATGAACTCCACCTAAATCCTGTCCCATCCTGATCTGATTTCAGGTACCAGGGACCAGTGTTATTGATCAGAAGAACCAGAGATGAAATCATCACCACCACGTGAGTTTTCTAAAACACGAATCTACACACTCTTACCTGTGGAAGAAACTGTCAACTGTTTTCTGTGCTGTGTTTGTAATATGCAGGGGTCCAGAAGACATCATGTCTAACAGAGGGAACGACCTGCTTCTCAGGCTGCTCCAGTACAGGTCAGACACCAGTCACTCACACTCCAGGGTTCATACACATTTTTACTATAAAAATTTCATGACTGTTTCAGGACTTTCAAGTCAATTTTCATGACCTAATGTTTCATGTAATGTCTACGTTTATGTTGTAAATAATAAGAAAAACAATGAACGTTTAATTTTATTACAGCATATCATAAAACACGCAACAATCTCTTTAGTTTGAATTTATTTTCATATCTATGTAAAATAGATGATGCTTGCACAGCAATAATTATGTGCATGGTTTCCGCTACATTCATTCTTCCATGGCGGGGCGCTACGCCAAAATTAATCCCGCCACGGCTACATTACAGCTTCTTATTCAAAACATTTTCGTGTTTTTTAATACCCGGTTATAATCACACCAAAACGTATTTTACGGTAAGTGAATTACAACAGCGCAAACTTTTCTGTAAGCGTAGTAGTGCTGAGCGCTGGTTGTTTAACTCGTTAAGGTTACATGCTGACTGACTGACTGGCTGACTGACAGGCAAGCACGACGTATAGCCGTTTCACTTTACTTCAGGACCCATTAATACCGATCTGTAGGTCTATTATGTTACATAAGTGATATATATGTTACATAAACGCACTAAATAGCATTTCAGCAGCGTTTATTTGAGAGCGCACAAGAAGATCTGCGCTTGAGCAGCGTATATTTGAGGGGGCATGCAAAAGGTTTTGTGCACGAGCAGAGGAAAATGGCGCGCAAGCACAAAGATGCTCGTAGGCTATTACATAAATGCGATCTCGACTTGTAACACTGCGCTCACGACATTTGTCATTGAAATACACCACAGGGAGTTGGTAGATCTGAGTAAAAAAGGCCTGCCGCCACAGCTGGAAAAAATCCTAGAGGAAACACTGATGTGAGACCATGTTTTTGGCCAAGAAAAGAAGTAAAAACAACTAACCAGTATACAGACACTTGTCAAACTAATTGTAGATAATGTTAATAGTTTGTTAAACTAGTAATAGTAGGTAAAACTACTTCTATTGTAAAGCCGCGATCGGACTGCACTTTTGACTCCATAGACTTCCTTTCATGGGTATGCGAATGCGGCAGACCAGAAACGCAAGCACGTTTGACGAGTTTCACATTTCACTGCATTCAAAAGTTCAAGCTTGGTGAATTCTTACTTTCGGAATCACATCAGGTGGCTGGGTTAGACCAATAGAAGAACATTTAAATACATTTTAAATATGAAGCAATCGCTCACTTTTATTAACGTCTAATCATATTGTTTAATACCACCGCTTTTCGCAGCGCCATATGACAGAGTTTATTAAATAAAGCTCTAGTGTAACAGCAGCATAAGTTGCTTTGGACAAAAACGTCTGCAAAATGACGAAATGTAAATGTAATTTTCATGACTTTGCCAAAACCTTTTGGGTTTTTCTGGATTTTCACAACTTTTCCAGGCCTGGACAATGCCATGTCAAAATTCCATGACTTTTCCAGGTTTTCCATGACCGTATGAACCCTGACACTCACTCACTCACTCCCTCACTCACTCACTCACTCACTCACTCCCTCGCTCACTCAATCACTTACTCACTCACTCACTCCCTCCTTCACTCCCTCACTCACTCAATCACTCCCTCCCTCATTCACTCACTCCCTCACTCACTCCCTCGCTGACTCAATCACTCATGCACTCACTCACACACTCACTCACTCCCTGCCTCCCTCATTCTCTTCCTCCCTCCCTCCCTCCCTCACTCACGCAATCACTCACGCACTCACTCACTTACTCACTCCCTGCCTCCCTCACGCAATCACTCACTCAATCTCGCACTCAATCACTCAAACACAATCACTCACACACTCACTCACTCACTCCCTCACTCTTTCACTCACTCACTCCCTCAATCACTCTCACTCACTCACTCCCTCACGCACTCACTCACTCACTTAATCACTTACTCACTCACTCACTCCCTCACGCACTCACTCACTTACTCACTCCCTCCCTCCCTCACTCACGCAATCACTCAATCAATCACTCACTCAATCTCGTACTCAATCACTAACACACTTACTCCCTTACTCTTTCACTCGATCACTCCCTCACGCACTCACTCACTCACTTAATCACTTACTCACTCACTCACTCCCTTACGCACTCACTCACTCCTTCACTCACTCACTCACTCACTCACCTTCATCTTATTCTGCTTCTTCACTGGATTCTTTTTTCTTTCATGTTTCTGTGTGTGTGCGTGTGTGTGTGCGCGTGTGTGTGCGCGTGTGTGTGCGCGTGTGTGTGCGCGTGTGTGTGCGCGTGTGTGTGCGCGTGTGTGTGCGCGTGTGTGTGCGCGTGTGTGTGCGCGTGTGTGTGTGTGTGTGTGTGTGTGTGTGTGTGTGTCAGGTATCCTAAGGTGATGACAGATGATGCTGTTACAGCGGTGAGGCAGTGGCTCGCAGCAGGCACACAGATTGAAGAAGGTCTGTTTTTGTAGCTCCTTCATTTTAAAAAATGCATTTTTGTATACAAGTTATAATTGCCTAAAATTGTAAGTGGATAATATTATTATTAACATTACCAAGTTATATTATCAACTTCCAATGTTTACCAATGGCAATCAAATCACCCCCCCCCCCCTTGACGGCCTGCACTCACACTGCATCTTTAGGTTCCGAGCCTGTGTACGCTTCTGTCATCGATGATGCGACTGTTCAGTTTAACAGGAAGAGAAGTGGACGTTTGCTTAGTTACTAAGCGCAGTGGACATTGCTTAGTTATATTGTTTTGTATTATGTTAAGTCGTTTGATATGTAATGACACACTGTCAAATATTTTGCTGAACAGATCCACGACTTTTGATGCTCATAAAGTCCTCGTGCTGCAGATATTAGGAGGTCATTTTCTGATCATTTTCTTTTCTTTTGGTATTTTTTCTCTAAATTGAAATGTTTGTTTAATTTCTCCTTTTCTGTACGAAGCCTTTTATGTGATTATGCCTGAACTGTAGCATGTAATACCATGATTTATTATGTTTTTGAACTTTTCTGTTTGTATTCAACCAACATTTGGTTTAAAATTGCTTTAAAAACTGTTTCAAATACTCTGAACTTCATTTCAAAGAATTCTGCTTTTATAGTTTGTCATTTTGCTTGGTAAAGATTCTTCGAAAAAGAATCCTGGTTATTTTTAGTTGACAGCTATTTCAGTGTTACTGTGGGGTCTTAAAGTCTTAAATCTCAAAATCCGAATTTTAGGCCTTTAAAAAAAGTCTTAAATTTACTGAAATATTATGTTGTAGGTCCTTAATCTTTTTTAAATAGGTCTTAACTGTTCATGTATAGTTACTCAATCTGGCCAAAACCCATACAGTCACCAACAATCAATCTCAATAAAACTCATTCATTCATTTTCTTGTCAGCTTAGTCCCTTTATTAGTCTGGTGTCGCCACAGCGGAATGAACTCCTCAGCCTTTATCCCTCAGCCTTTATCCCTTTACGAGTCTAAAATTTAATTCATAATGGTCTTAAATTTACCCCTGTATATTTCGACTAACAATAGTGCTTAATTGTGGATTTAATTTCATTTTAAATTGTGTGTTTACTAATCAATGATCTAGTAACTGTTTTCATGCATTCATTATTTATCTATTTTGTACAGTTTTAATTCAGTCTTAGTAAATAGTGAAAAAATCTGTTCAAGTATATCTGTGTATGATGTCTTTATGAAGCAGAATATGAGTGAATTTACTTATTTTGACTGTTTTTTTTTCAGAGTCAGTGTACACGGGCTATGAGGTGGATGATGACTGGTGTTTGTCTGTTCTTCAGTCCTATCAGACAGACAGAGAGACGCTGTTCCCCTGGAGCGTCGGTATGACACACACACACACACACACACACACACACGACACACACAAACACTACAGACAGCTGAGCGTCTGATCTTCTGTTTCAGGTGAAGATATGACACTCGAGGGCAGACGGCAGCTCGGTTTATTCTTGGTAGGTTGTTAAAAATATCTTTGCATTTATTAATTCATTCATTGTTTGTTCTGTTGTTCTTTTTGGCGTTCATTGTTTCATCTAATTTTTTTTTATTCTAATGAAAGCAAAAGAAAGAAAATAGCAATAGAAAGTTTTGCTATTACTTTATCTAGTGTTTGTTCATATTTTAGCATAATGTTTGTTCTTTATATCAACTCCATATATTTGTGTATTATTTCTCGTTTTGGTTCTATCAATCATTCTGTAGTTTGTCTGATCTAATATTTTTTTATTTCCATCCATCCGTCTTTTATTTCCTTTTTTTGTTATTTATTATTTATCCATTTTTATTCGTGCACAATATAATGTGTTCATTTTGTTCCTTAGTTTGTCTGTTGTTTGTTCACTTTATCATCCGTTTGCGATTCACTCTAATTTCAGTTCACTATTCACTCAGTTTACTTCGCTATTTTGGCTAGAATAAAGTTTTTAATTTTTTAAAAACCATTTTAAGGTCAAAATTATTAGCCCCTTTAAGCTCTATTTTTTCCCGATAGTCTACAAAACAAACCATCATTATACAATAACTTGTCTAATTACCCTAACCTGCCTTGTTAACCTAATTAACCTAGTTAAGCCTTTAAATGTCACTTTAAGCTGTATAGAAGTGTCTTGAAAAATATCTAGTCAAATATTATTGACTGTCATCATGGCAAAGATAAAGTAAATCAGTTATTAGAAATGAGTTATTAAAACCATTATGTTTAGAAATGTGTTGAAAAAATCTTCTCTCCGTTAAACAGAAATTGGGGGAAAAAATAAACAGGGGTCTAATAATTCAGGGGGGCTAATAATTCTGACTTCAACTGTACATCCATATATACATATATATACAGCTACTGCATGTTTCTAGTATGTTTTTGTCGGCAGTATAATGTAACTAATCACAAATACTCAAGATTACTGTAAATGATTAGTTTCTAATTACTTTTTTTGGTCCCACTTTATATTAAGTGGCGTTAACTAATATGTACTTACATAGGAATTAATAGTTTGCTGGAATGTACTTATTGTGTAAGTACATGTATTTACTGTGTACTTATGCTTGATTAAATGCATGTATGTAATTACATCTGTAATTAACTTTTGTAATTACATTTGTAAATACACTGTTGACTATTCCTTACACCTTAACCCACCCTTAAACCTACCCATACCACCAAACCTGTCCATAACCTAACATCTATCCCAACTCAAAATTGTTCTCAAATACATTATAAACACAGTAAGAACATTGTATTTATTGTATTTATTTTTTTGATGCAAGTACATAGTAGTTAAGGACACTTAATATAAAGTGGGACCCTTTTTTTTTTTTTTTTAAATGTGCAATTTTACTGTGGGAATGGCTGACGTGAAACTAACGTTTCAACACTGTCAAGATCATGAAGCGCAAGTGTTTTGAAACTCCACTGAAGCATGATCCCAATCACCCAGGTCACATGACCAATGTGTTTCGAAACACCTAAGTCACGTGACTGAAGCGTTTCAACGTATCTGTCATTTCAAAAGCATTTCGAGACCTGGCGACTCTGCGTTTGACTGACAGGGTTGGGAAAAAAGAAAACACTATCACAAAATGTTCATTCGGATGTCAGACCAATGTTAAAACAAAACATGCTACAAATAAGACCTGTAGCTGCATCACCCTGGATTCTAACCCTTTATCTTGGCATGCTAGTTAGCAACTTCTGCTTCAATAAATCACTTGAAAGCTCAGCTCTACAACGTGGGGTTTAATACCTTAATTTGCTTAACTGTTTCTTTGCTGAAGGTGTTCCAGAGCAATACAAAAAATGGCCACTAGGCGTTCCTGTAGAATGGGGTTTCAAAACGTTTAGAAGCTTCAACACATTTGTTTAGACTGTTTCAGTGTTTCATAAAGCTTTGCTTTGATTTGCCCACCACTACTCTTACTTGACTGCATTTTTAGTGCTGTATCGATACTTTTACCAAACTAGTATTTTCCTTTATTCTGCACTCACTAGTTTATGTTTGTCGTTTCTTGTCTATGGTGATTGGCTCAGTAATCAGTCCTGTAATTTCCATCCAATCAAATCGCACACAGAAAACTAGCAACAGACAGACTGACCCTCAGGACACATAAGCTTCACATTTTACAGAATGTTACGTTTTCAAACACATGCACAAATTGCATTACGCAGATTTCGCTCCTCATGTAAAGGCATCTGCCTGCTTTCAATTAAAAACAGTCTTAACAAGAAAATGGCTAGTGGTGGGCAAAGCAAGGCTTCATGAAACACTAAAAAAAGTATATAAAAATATTCGAAAAGCAAATGTGTTGAAGCTTCAAAACCCATCTCTACAGTGACACCTAGTGGTCATTTTATGTATTGCTCTGGAACGGCTTTAGCAAAGAAACAGTTTGAAGATTTACACTCCACACTGTAAAATTGAGGTTACAAGTGATTTGAAGCGGAGGGAATTCCTAAATAGCATGCAGAAAAAATGGCTGTGTCTGAAATCGCATACTTCCATACTATATAGTATGCTAAAAACAGTATGCAAGCCGAGTTGCATGTCCGAATTCATAAAAATCGAAAAACAGTTTAAGAGAAGTACCCGGATGATCTACTACTTCCGGCGAGATTCTGAAGTGTGTATGCGAAGCAGGCTGCAATATCCCATGATGTTGACCGATGTTTTGAATCGCTTTAGGGTGATTCGAAAACCAAGTCACATGACTAGTCACGTGACCCAGCTGTTTCAGATCATGCTTCGGTGCAGTGTGTTGAAACACTTGTGCTTCAGGATCTCGACAGTGGAGAAAAGTTTCACATCAATTATTCCTACTGTAAGCTACTTTTTTAACTGTATAATTTTCACTGTTACATTTTCAGAGTAACAATACCTATTCGTGAGTACTTTTCGAAAGTCTCCTTTTTCTTTTAGTATTTACAAGAAATGCCTAATACATTTTACATTCACTCCAAATTTTTGGGCCAGCAATGGTGCTTTTACTCAAGTGTGATTTTTCAGTACTCTTACCACCATTTTATTTTTGCCATGAATTCTTTTATTCAGATTTCCGAATTTTCCATGTTAACCTAGCGTCATCTGTTTGTATTTCACTCAGGCACGGAAGTATATGCGAAACTTTGAGACGACGCACTGCACTCCCCTCCCCATTTCTGAGTTCAGGCCTCCCTGGAAACTGTAGAGGCGCTGAGAAAGAGCACTGGAGGTCAAAGGGAAACACACAGACACACGCCGGTACTCAGAATCAGATCTACAGGATGGCAGGGAGCAATTTAGCAGTAGTCATTTGTATAAATGTGACCTGGTTATTTGTTTATGTTTTGTTGGCATGGTTTGATAGAGGCGTTTTAAATTATTGGTTGTGCTCTTCCTGCACCGCAGTAGATGTTTAACGTGAAAATGAGGGTCAGAAACGTGTGGACGCTCAGGTTTGACATCATGTTTGTTTCTTTTGAGAGACTCAGTGATGGGACAGATGATCTCTTGCCTCTTTCTCAGTCTGTTTTCCTTTTTTTAATTGATTTTGTGAAGCACTGTAATTATGAACAAACCGTATCGTCAAACAATGTTCTGAATGTTATATTACATATGAATATTAAATGAAACCCGGGGATACTTTTTTGTGGTTGAATTCCTCTATATAAAGTCATTATTTGTGTTTCACACACAAAATAAAAGTTTGTTATTGTAAATGAAATGGTGTTGATGTATGTTTCTTGAAAATGCGACTAATCTACTATTGACCATTCTATATACTTATGATTTAGAGTTTGAGTTAAATGTATTTAATTTAATTCTCTAAACTGTGGATGATATTTTCACATTTAAAATGAAACCCTAAGCCCTACTGCATTGTATAAACCAGAGTTTTTTTATATATAAAATAAATAGGTGAAAGTAATCAATATTTGGTGCAATAACCTTGATTTTCACTCAACACTGATTTTCAATTTAAACATTTGTTATTTTCGTTATCTGAAAAAAGTAGTCCTCTAAGTGACGGTAAGTACATTTACATGGACATAAGTCATCTGATGGCGAGGCAGTGGCGCAGTAGGTAGTGCTGTCGCCTCACAGCAAGAAGGTCGCTGGTTCGAACCTCGGCTCAGTTGGCGTTTCTGTGTGGAGTTTGCATGTTCTCCCTGCCTTCGCGTGGGTTTCCCCCACAGTCCAAACACATGTGGTGCAGGTGAATTGGTTAGGCTAAATTGTCCGTAGTGTATGAGTGTGTGTGTGTGAATGTGTGTATGGATGTTTCCCAGAGATGGGTTGCAGCTGGAAGGGCATCCGCTGTGTAAAAACTTGCTGGATAAGTTGGCGGTTCATTCCGCTGTGGCGACCCCGGATCAATAAAGAGACTAAGCCGACAAGAAAATGAATAAATAAGTCATCTGATTTTACGATTAGGGCAATACTCTAAATTAAGAGTCTACCATGTAAACAGCACTATTCGATTGATTTAATTCAAATAAAGTCATAATCGAACTAAACAGAAATTAGACGTTAAGTATGTCGATTTCAGTTGCATTATTGAAGTGCAGTACAGACATGTAAACACAGCAATCAAACTGTTACCATCATGTAGGATTTTCGCCACATTTTGTGACGATAGTCCATACACGCATGACTGTTTGACACTATTCTTGGCACCTGCCAAGTTAAGGTCCAGTTAAGGTAAGGACCACAGACACCCACATCGCGAAATGCTAAGTGTTTTTCCCCATATGACGTGCGGTATCAAATTCCATTAAAACAACACTCTTCCTGCAGTTCAAACTCGCTTCCATATCTTGGTTGTCACATGGGCATGCATGAAATGTTCCGGAATGAAAGTGAAAGCTAAACTGCAGTTAAAGTTGACAAATTACAACTCAAACACCAGAAATTACATGAAACTCCGGAGGAAATGTGGATAGCGTGGTGACACAACAATGTTAATCGAATTATGTGCTTTAACATGTAAAACGAGATCAGGAAAGGAACATTCAAAAAGCAACTCATCTAAACACCTTCATCAATTTATTGTCTTCCGATTAAGGTAAATCATTTGATTACTGATGTCCCTGTAGTCACAGTTTTTATTTGAAATTTGGAAAAATAAATAAATAAATTATTTATTATATTCTGTATATATTTTTTGTTTTCATTTAAATTAATATTCAATATTTAATTTTAAAAAGTAGCAAATTTATACACATAATTTGTTTATTTTAACTAATAACTCATTATACAAAATGTAGTATATTTATTTATTTACATAAATAAATATTTTGCGAATGGCAAACTACATTTGGTTTGTTTGCCAAAAACTTAAAATAAATTATCATGCATTTTATGTATATAACGTCCTCTTAAAAGTAATAAAATGCTACATATAATGTTTAATGGAATTTAAAAGTCACAATACAAGAAAATTCATAGCTATTTAATTTAAGATAAATTTTTATTCAAGCTTCCCCACATTATTGTTTACTAGGCATGACTGACATTGAACACAAAGGAATTTCAATGGAAAAATTCATAAACGATACAAAAAAAAAAGCATGAGGGTGAAATGTTACATCATCTTGCTGAAGTTCTCTATGGCTTCCTTCACCTTCTGCAGCTCTGCTTCACTCTGCCTCAGCTGGAAAATAAAAGCAGTTTTTCCTCAAACACTGGTATAAGCTGTAATCCAAGCCCATTTTCTCTTCTCTCCTCCTCTGTCATATTTACCTTCTCAGCATCAGCTTCCTGCACTTTCACGGGAACTTTCTCCTTGTAGTCGTTCTTTGTCATCTTTTCCTTCATCTTCTCCATCTGTTTCTCCAGCTCGCCTTTCTTGGCCGTCAGTTTCGTGACCTCCTTTCCCAAGTCAATCAAACCCTGATTCAGAGGAGGAAAAAAAATAGGATTTACAGAAAAAGCTCATTACACTCATTAAATGTGAATCTGGAGGCGGTGAAATCATTTCCTGACACAAAGCCATAGCAGATATTTTTGGAGAATGATATTTAAATTTAGTTTATCTCCTCATTTCCGAATGATTCACTTTGGGGGTATTTGGCAGCTGTGGTGCAGATTATGACTCTCACAATAAACTCCTTCAGGTGCATTAGTGCTAGTCTAAACGCTTTTTATGTGATCCAGCAAGGCTCAGTAAGAGTTTAATAACCTTCAGCATGAGGTTGACAGTGCATTTATCTGAAGCGATGGCCACCGCACAGCCTTGTGGGATAGCGGCGTCTCCGACCACAGAGTGAACGGCCTGAGAGTAAGACAGGGTCTGGATCTGAAGACTGTATTTCTGAACCAGAGCGGCCGTTTCGGAGTCGATACACTGCAGGAAACCTGAACAGAAAGAAAACATGCACACGCTACATTAGTGTCTTAAAGCAAAATAGTAAATGATTGAGGCTCAAGCATGTATATATCCAGCAGTTTACATGTGTTTGTTGCCAAATTACAAACATGCATGGCAAAAGTTCACAATATACAGGTTAAACTGATAAAGACAATTAAACAGACCTTATGCTTCTTTGTGGTGGCACTGAATGAATGTAGAATCTGTATATCCTGCATTTTGCATTCTGACAAGCTGTGAACTAGGCTGCACGTTTCAGAGAACTGCTCTTTTCCCTCTTCCTGCCTCTCCCATTTTTAAAATAAGAGTCCCAGATAAATAGTGTGCTTAATACAAGCTTAAATCAATTTAAAAAAAAAAGGGATAAATGCTTTCATGAAGATTAACTAAGATTGTGTTGAATGATGGTAATGCTTTTCAAAATGTAAAAAAAGAGGATATGAGCAACTACCTAAAAAAATCTATAATAAAAAACAATTCTAATAAGACCAACAGTAGATTTGGACCCTCTTTTCTGCATTATTTGTAATTTCATTTACAAAAATAATACATTTAGTGCATTTCTTGACTGCATAGAATGGTGGAAAATGTCAACTCTGTCATTGTCAACTCTGTTTAAATCATTCTTAAACCTTTTAAATACATAACAATCACTGACACAATCAAATGTTCCCTGTCACATTAAATCATTTGGCATTGTTTTACATTAATAATGGAATCAGTTTAAAAAAAGGAAAAATTGAAAGATAAATGCTTTCATGAAGATTAACATAAGATTGTGTGGAATGATGGTAATGCTATTCAAAATGTAAAAATAGAAGATATGAGCAACAACTTAAAAAAACTATATTGATAAACAATTCTAATATCAGAAAGACCAACAGTAAATTTGGACTCTCTTTTTTCTGCATTATTTGTAATTTAATTTACAAAAAAAAAAAAAATTTGTGCATTTCTTGACTGCACAAAATGGTGGAAAATGTCAACTCTGTCATTGTCAACTCTGTTTAAATCATTCTTAAACCTTTTAAATCACTAACAATCACTGACACAATCACATGTTCCCTGTCACATTAAATCATTTGGCATTGTTTTACATTAATAATGGAATCAGTTTAGAAAATGAAAAATTGAAAGATAAATGCTTTCATGAAGATTAACATTAGATTTTGTGGAATGATAATAATGCTATTCAAAATGTAAAAATGGAGGATATGAACAACTACCTAAAAAAAACTATATTGATAAACAATTCTAATGAGACCAACAGTAAAATGGTGGAAAATGTCAACTCTGTTTAAAGCATTCTCAAACCTTTTAAATCACTAACAATCACTGACACAATCAAATGTTTTCAGTCACATTCAATTATTTTGCATTGTTTTACATTAATAATGGAATCAGTTTAAATCAGGGGTCACCAAACTTGTTCCTGGAGGGTCAGTGTCCTGCAGGTTTTAGCTCCAACCCTAATCAAACACACCTGAACAAGCTAATCAAGATCTTACTAGGTGTACTTGAAACATCCAGTCAGGTGTGTTGAGGCAAGTTGGAGCTAAACCCTGCAGGGACACCGGCCCTCCAGAACTCCAGTGCCCCCTGGGTTAAATGACACATTTAGTGTATGTCATCACAGTTTACGGAAAATCTATGTAAAAATGCTTGAAATGTACATGCAATTGTGCACTTGTATAACCTAGTCACACACATACCTAGATTCCTAGTTCCTATAAGTGTTGACTGGTCCATCTCTAGTGAACTCTACACTACACTACCTGACAAATGTCTTGTGGCCTTTCCGAGTTTTAGGAACAACAAATAATAACTTGACTTCCAGTTGATCATTTGGTATCAAAAGTGGCTTTTATGAAAGGCAAAGGCCTCTAGATTAGGCTTATTTTACCAAAATTAAATATGATCATGCCTTGATTTTGAATTAGTTCATTAGGACAGTAAAATCTGACTTTGCTCACACAAAAGTCTTGTCATTTAACAGAAATAATGTACAGTATAGAACATAAAGTCATGCTGCAGTGGAAAAATAATTAATATTGTGTATGACTCCCATGAGCTTGGAGGACTGCATACATCTCTGCAATGACTCAAATCACTTATCCATAAAGTCATCTGGAAGGCAAAGAAAGCGTTCTCGCAGGACTCCCAGAGTTCATCAAGATTCTTTGGATTTATCTTGAATGCCTCCTTTGCCATCTTACCCCGGAAATGCTCAATAAGGTTCAAATCTGGTAATTGGGCTGGCCAATCCTGGAGCACCTTGACCTTCTTTGCTTTCAGGAGCTTTGATGTGGAAGCTGAAGTATGAGAAGGAGCGCTATCCTGCTGAAGAATTTGCC